AGTTTCTCCACCCATGCCCCTCCTGTCCACAAGAATAACAACCTATGGAACCCTGTCTGCACCTCCCAAAATGCATCCTACCGCAAGTAGCACAATGCTGTGGGGCTGTCCTAGCCTGGCCTGAACCTCTTTGTTGCTTCGAGCCTGATGCTCGTGAACCCTCACCTAGGCCTGACTGTTCCGAACGATCAAATCTACTACCCTGGAACTGTTGTGGTGGAGGTCTAGGTGGCCTAATAGAATATCGAGGTTTGGGACCACCCTGAAAATCTCCATGTGAACCAGCAGGCCTAGCCCTCTTCTCTCTCTCTCGTGTACTGTAGATGTCGACGATCCTCTATGCCCTGTGCAAAGGCTTGAATCCACGAGATATCCATATTATCATTTAGCGCAGTGGTAGAACAAGCCTCAATATAGTTTGAGTCAAGCCCTCCCACAAATCTACTCACCCTATCATGCATCGTATCAACAAATGCTGGTGCATATCTAGCCAATGAATCAAATCTCAGCCCGTACTCTCGGACACTCATGCCACCCTGTCGGAGGTTTAGAAACTGGTCCACGCGGTCATCCCTAATCTCTCGAGGCAAATAGTGATATATGAAAGCTTCTGTAAAGCTATCCCAAATGGGTAGAGATGTATCGCTTCCCCTAGATCTCTCCCAACTTTCACACCACAATACTGCAACATCACGCATTCGAAATGTTGCTAACTCAACTGACTCAGTCGCTGAGGCATGCATCTGAAGATCCTATGAAGCTGATCAACAAAGTGATGAGGTCTTTTCTGCGATCTGTCCCTATAAACTATGGAGGATTCAAGGAAAGAAATTCACGAACTTTTGAACTTTCGGGCCATTCAGAAGGTCCGGCAACATCTGGCGCAACTGGTTGGCACTGTGCAGCTACTAACTGTGCTAACATACATACTGCACTCTTGAAATCCTGATCAGATGGAATAGGAGGAACTAGAGGTGGTACTGTTGGTGGAGCCGGAAGTACTGTAGCCCTCGGAGGCTCCTGAAGCTGTGGAGAAGCTATAGGGGGATGAGAATATGTCTCCCCCTGGGTCTCTCAATGGGCTACCTTCACCTGTGGTACCTTGTCGGTACCCTCGCTTGCAGTTGTATCTAGCCCCTGGTTAGTTGTGGTCTGTCTAGTGTCAGTCATCTCTATTTGCATACAAGTATCAATTATAAGCCAGAAACCTTAACCCTTAAGACACCGCTCTATAGCACAAGGTGAGAAAAAGAAGGATAGTCATTCTAACATGCTCGGTATATTCTTGCTTATCGGATATGGTGCACAACATATTTATAAACAAAATTCTACTAGACATGGCTTGCAGACTCCCTAGGATATGATGTTGCTCTGATACCAAGTTTGTCACGCCCCAAACTCGAGGGACGCAACTGGCTCCTAATGCCAAAACTCAGGCCCGAGACGACCATGCTGAATGATTTGCTACTAGCGCATGGCAGCCACACGTAATCAAGAAAACAAACAAGTATATCTCGACTTAAAACTAAGCCTTGGCCGGCAAGGCCCCTGTCAACTGATCTATAAAAGAAACAACTACTCCCAGGAGATCATATAAATAAATATCCAACTAGCACATAAGTCTTGATTGGACCGTCGACGCCATCATGATAACTATACCAAAACTAAAAGCAGGTATATATCAATAGAATACATCATACAGCTCGCAAGCTTCAGCAAACCAACTACATAGGCCAGTATGTCCATAACGTAGCTATACACCCCACACACTAGTCTGCAAGCCTCTAAGAGTAGTAAAGATTAGCGAGACAGGGCCCCAGCCTACCCATAAAGATATAAACAACAAAAGGTAACAAACCTCCCAACTCTAGCAGCTCCGGAGGAAAGGGGATAGCCAATCAAATAAAAGTCAATCCTGTTGCTGAGGAGGTCTACTCGGTCGTCTGTCAGGACCTGCATACATGAATGCAGCGCCCCCAAGGCAATGGGGCGGCATTACAAAATAATTTACAAAGTATGAAAGGCAATAGACTATGAGGAGGTATCCTAATATACTGGAATAATCTGATAAATAAATCAAGGATAAGAGAAGTGTACTGACCTGCTCTTAAATCTAAACTTATCAAAAATAATAAAACA